TTACTGAGCATATAAAAAGGCCTCTTATTGGAGTTTGACTAATCGTCATGGGTCGTGGGTCGTGGGTCGTGGGTCGTGGGTCGTGGGTCGTGGGTCGTGGGTCGTGGGTACAAGTTGTGGGTCGTGGGTGAGGGTCTGGATAAAAGTCGTGGGTGTGATTAATACTTAACAATGACAATAATCATTTAAAATATTACTTATAATAATACATAAATATTATACAACCCTTGTCATTGTATCAGCTCGGTTTAATGAGCCTAATATTTCATTGATTTCATCCAACAGAATGAATTCATTTCACCCAAAAAGAAAAATGAAACCAAAGACAAAGCCCTTATTTGCAGGATGATGTAATCTCTTAAAATGAGGGTCATTCCAAAGAGTTTGAGGAGTTTTGTTCAGGTCAAACGCTTGATCAACACACAAAAAAATAATCTTACACTGAAAAGAGAGAAGTATTCAACTTAAAAGAACAACGTTTTCAGAACATGAAAGAGGCTTCGAGGATCAGAAACACGGCTATTGGCCATGTTCTTGAATCAAAATTAAATTGTGCTCTCAGTGCCGGTTAAAAATAAATGAAGTTTCAGAAGTAAAAGGTTATTCCTTCTGTTGGTTAGGGAAGATAAAGCTTGTGTTGATCAATGACATTCAGACAAAGAGCCGAATGCTTCATCAATTGTCACCTCCGTATCGCGTACCATCTACCCCGAATCTGAGAAAAAAAATTAAGTGAAACAACGAACTGTTGCAAGATAAGCCGATATATAGATAGCAACGTTGCAACGTTAGTTGCAGGTCTGGAGATGTTGGCTCCAGGGTTTTTCCAAGGCACCAAAATACAAAACCTCTGGTATCCAGTGTGCGGTACAATCGACAACCGGAAATCCTAAGCCAGTGTTAAATTGGTCACGACAACTGGCATCGGTGATAAGTAATTAAATGAAGAACCAATTAGCACAATCTTAAAATTTTTCTTCGTCCATTTAACTGGCCAGGTCGTCCTTTTCTAAATCATAAAATAAACTAGATATGAAGAATTATTTAAATAGGTAAATTAATAAATAAAGAGGTTCTAATAATTTCAATTTTTAAACGATTCATTTTTTATCTGACAAAGAGCAGACTCTGCAGAGTTTCGAAATGTGACATACTCAAGAAACATACGTTTCATTGTTCGTCGAGAGGTATTGCATTACTTCACGGTATCTAATGACAGTCATGTTTCACGTCTTGTTTTGAGACGCTTACATGATAAAATTTTAGAAAGAAGAATAACAACGGTTCAGGTCACGTTTCGCGAAAAAAGCCAGTCATTTCGCAATTTCCATGAAGAAAAGGCGCTTCAACTTTCACGGCGATAGAACCAAATCACGTTTAAAACCAGCCACAGGGTCCTTCACGATCACGAAAAAACCCTTTTTCCCTACAAAAATAACAGTAATTGATTATTAGTAGTGGTACTATTAACATTATTAAATATGAGCTTAACCATTAATTGTTATGTATTATCCACACCCACGACTTTTACCCACACCCATGCCCACGACCCACGACTTGTACCCACGACCTACGACCCACGACCATTAGTCAAACTCCTCTTATTGCAACGATCAGATCACCTCTGATGAAGGCACTAGACAGGAGTGTCGAAAAGTTGGGTCAATGAATTGTAATTCCTCGATTACATTTATTAAATCGTGAAACCAGAGTAGCATCAAATCATGTCTGATTGTCCACCTGGTTGCTGGGTGAACTTAAATATATCCTAAATTGAGCTTATCATGAACGCCCGATACCTTCACTCAGCACATACAATAGTGCTCACTTAGTCTTGATCAGGAGGATAGAAAGGACCGTAATTATAGCTTTAACTGGATTTTTCTCTCTTTTTTTCTTTGAAAGTTTTTTTTTAATACTGTTGGAAACGGATGAAGCCTTACTGTTGTTACTAACCTCATGCTTTTACTAAATGAGAAAGGTTTATAGGAGCTTTGAAACACTTAGTTGGGTACGTTTTTGTTTTTTTAATTATAGATTTCTAAAGGTATACTTTAGACTCAAAGCTTCGGTTGATTCAGTTGAGTTCAGATGGTCACACTGTACTAAATAACAATATCATCGAAATACTCAGCGTGTCTAGAATGCCCAAATAAATGTCTGAAAAAATTCCTGCCGAAGACTACGTTTGCCTCCTCGACAGAGGCGCGCTTAGTCGATCCTTGGTACTGGATAACGATGCCTGCTGACAGAGGTATCTATCTTCGTATAACATTACATCTACCAAGCTTCTCGTATGATTTGGTATAGAACAATTTTGGCTCACAACCATTTGTCGAGTCCCTCGTGATTTTCCTCAGCTCACTACCTATTCTTGAGCAGCTACTGTGTACAATTAATTTTTCGCCCTTGTCTGGTCTAGAACGTTTGAAAGTAGTCCAGGGGCGTTTGGTGAGTTTTCCCTCAGCCTATCGCAGTCTGATGTTTGTATGTTCAATAACTGAAACGTTGATGATGATGGTGATGGTGATGTGTGAGTGAATGTAAATGGTAACTCCCAAAATAAAGTGACCTTTTCCTTACGAAGTGGCTATGAGCCACTCCAAAAAATGGCACAGAGCGAATTTGATTTCTAAGAGACTTTATCGTTTCATTATGGCCCATATTGATAACATTTCACTGAAGTGATTACCCTTTTCAAATATTTCTAGTCATCATTATCATCGTTATTCGTATCCGTATTGGTGCCAAAGATAATGAGTCTTCTCTAAACGAAACAACAGTATATTAGCCGAACACTCTCAGAGTAAAAGGAGCCCTATCTTACAGCCTTTCCAGTTTAACATTGGTCATGAAGGTATCGTTATGTAGATTCTCCAGTTCGTTGTAAGCTAAATCCCTAAAAAAAATTCGATAAAAATTATATATAATTTTGAGTTGTGATTAGATGTACTTTGTTATCTACACGTACAAGCAATCTCTCTACTAATTCGAGGTGAACATAAATTTGTTATCACCCCTCATTTTAAAAGGTAGGGAAATATCTGAAATTTCCAGGTGTGCTATACAGGAAATAAGGGAGAGGAGCACATAAAGCTTAAATTTTCACGACCTTTCTGTTGTGGAATTGTTGCTTTGGTGCACTAGAAATGAAAGACATGACAATATGCAAATTTCATCTTATTGTCCAGATGGAAATTCATTTATCAAGTCTCTAAAGATTCTCCTTAGCTCGCTGCCAATAACTAGCGTGTACCATTATTCGGTTTAGATCTTTTAAAACAGTCCATGGGCGTTTTTGATGAGCTTTCACTCGGCCTGTCGCATTCTGTCTACCTTTGTTCGGCAAAGGGGTTGATGTATGAATCGACATAAAGCTGAGGATGATGATACAGCTTTAGTGATGTACGAGTAAAAGAAGAGACAGTGAGGTACGATTTGAGAAGTGTAAATGAGCTAAAAGAAAAGATCAAAGATTCAGTTCATTAATTGATTCAACAGGGTCCATGTGGTTAACAGTTCAATAACTAAAGTGGTTCCCCTTGTCAAACATTTATACGTTATCATTGTTATTGTTAGTTTTGTTTCCAAAATGGCGTAGTAATTTGAAAATAACAATATATCAGCCTAATGCTTATGAGTGAAAGAGGCTCTAACTTACAAGCTTTTCAGATTAAAATTGTTTATGAAGATATCTTTGGGTAAGTTCTCCAGTTGGTTGTACGCTAAATCCCTAGAAAAATCCCAGAAAAAATTAAAATATATAATTATAAGTTCAGATAAAATGTATTTTTATAGCTACAAGCTATATTACTAGTTATCCAATATATAAACACAATCACAAACACACAAACCGTATAGATGAGGTGAAATGAAACGAAAACAAAAGGCATTGGATTATCAACAAGCTTGTAGATAGCAATATCCAAGAACTATTTTTCATCAACTTGAGAATAACTATAATTATACTTTTTTTGTTTTCTAACTTTATTTCAAAACAAGATACGTCCAAACTTACAAGTTTACCAAAGCAGAGTTGCTGACGAAGATATCTTTGTCTAACTCCCTCAGTTGATTATAGCCTAAGCTCCTATGACAAATAAAGGTCGAGAATAGAATAAGAACCTGGGTTGAATACATACTTTTGAAAACTTGTGCATTGCATCTTTTGCGGGAAAAATCATGAGAGGTAAGTCATAGGAGGATAAGGGAATATGCCAGCGAAGTTGCTCATTAGATTTCTTTTCGTGTTCTTTTCTAAAGCTCCAACGCCCAAAGTGGCTAAAGTAACCCAGCCAAGGATTTAAATGTACGCCTCTATCTTCGGCAACTGAGATATCTATGTTTGGAGAAAACTGTTTACAGATGAACGGTTAAATTTCATTCGCTTACTCAACTACACCGCCATTAAGAAGCGATTTTTCGTTAATGATTGAGCATGACTGGGCATGGTCTAATTAAACTTAAAAGCGTTCAGCATACAGTAACAAAAATTTACCATCCTTATCAAGAGGCGATACCTCGTAACACAACTGTGATCATTAGTCAAAACTCATTTTGCAATGACTTACCATACATGCCAAAACTAAAAATAATTCCGTAACAAGAAGAGGAATCTAAACATACAGCAATTTCAGCCTTGTATTCCTTTCGAAAATGCTTGTGGGCAACTCCCATAACTGGTTGTTTGCTATGTAGCTATCAGAATAAGATAAAAGTATATATCATTATCTTAGGTCAAATTCCATTGTTTTCTACAGGGAATCGAAAGGATATCTTAAAGCATCTGCAGATAATAGAAGGAGAATTAGGGCAATATATTCTTAAAGTCTTTCTACGCTAAGAAAGGTTTATGTTCTGCATAAGTCTGTAAACTTTGAATCAACGGACGGCAGGTTTCAACATATCGCTCAAAAAAAGCTGCACTGATTAATGTATGTTGACTTATCTACGTTCACAATACATATACCTGAAGAATGCTTCTTGGAAAGTCTGTCGGTATGGCAGTATGGGAGAATGGGAAATCGGACGACTGTGAGCGCACCGAACATGCGAGATTTCTGACGCAAATCGACTTTTCCATGTTTGTTATACATACGGAGTACTGTGACGGATTTTTGATTTCTTGACTTTTTTCCATCTTGTGCTCCACGCACCAATTAATCTACGCTTATTCTTTATTTTTTTCCCTTATTCTTTTAGGCACCATATAGGAAGTCTTTTCGGTGTTACAGTGCTCGATACATAAAAATAGAGCGCTATATACGTGGAGTAATAAAATACAAAGACTACGCTTTCCTCTCTACAAGCCCGTTGCGTGAATATTGACTCGTCAGGGGATTTTATTCTCCTGACGAGTGAGTGATCACGAAACAGGCTTATAGGGATGAAAGCGTAGCCTTTTTGTTTTCTTAACTCAACACACACACACACACACACACACATATATATATATATATATAATTATACCTCAAGAATTAGGAGCAGTAAAAGTTCAAGTAACCTAATTCTTGAGGTATAATTATCCATAGCTCTAGCCCTGCTATTGAGCACTTTTTAGTAGATGATGATCTCATTCCGCTATTTTGGTTATATATATATATATATATATATATATATATATATATTGTGGGAGGAAAAAGACAAGTAAACTACAAGTTCATCCCTACAAGCCTGTTTCGTGGTCGCCCACTCATCAGGGGATTTAATGAGAATAAACTTTACCATTGCTTATATACAATATAATTTGCATGATCTAACTAGTCTAATTTATGCAGCGCGAAATTGACAGTTTAGTTGTTGCGTAGGAGGGCTTTGCTTCTGTGGCGGCATGAAGACACGAGTTCATTACGTTTGTTTAGTGTTGATAGTTCGGGCCGGCAGATGATTAGGAATTTTTCTTTGAGGCAGAGGTTACATCTTTTAGTTGAGCTGTTATACGGTGAGTGCGATGAGAGAATGCGCCAGGAAATAAAGTGATCGATGTTGTTGTCTTTGAGGGTCCAGATGTGCTTGCTGAGTTCGGTAGAGTTTCTGTGTTTAGCGTGGCGGAATGATGCGGTGTGGTTTCTGTATCTTGTTTTGAAGTCATTCTCTGTGAGTCCGATGTACGTTTCTGTCGTGTTGTTGTCTTTGCGTGTAACGGAGGCTTGGTAGATTACTGATGGTTGCAGGCAGTTTCCGTCGAGCGGGCATGTGTTCTTTTGTCGGCAGTTGCATGTCTTGTTGTTATCAATGGTAGTGGCGGTGGCGG